CATTACTGGGGAGCTGTATAAAGCCCTCGGTTGTCTAACGTATGTTCTTTCTTGGGGAGCTGTATACAGGCCTCGGTTGTCTAACTGTCTAACGTATGTTCTTTCTTGGGGATCTGTAAACAGGCCTCGGGTGTCTAACATATGTTCATTACGGGGGAGCTGTATACAGGCCTCGGTTGTCTAACGTATGTTCATTACGGGGGAACTGTATACAGGCCTCGGTTGTCTAACGTATGTTCATTACTTGGGAGCTGTATACAGGCCTCGGTTGTCTAACGTATGTTCATTACTGGTGAGCTGTATACAGGCATCTGTTGTCAAACGTATATTCATTACGGGGGAGCTGTATACAGGCCTCGGCTGTCTAACGTATGTTCATTACTGGGGAGCTGTACATAGGCCTCGGTTGTCTAACGTATGTTCATTACTGGAGAGCTGTATACAGGCCTCGGTTGTCTAACGTATGTTCATTACGGGGGAACTGTATACAGGCCTCGGTTGTCTAACGTATGTTCATTATTGGGGAGCTGTATAAAGACCTCGGTTGTCTAACTTATGTTCTTTCTTGGGGATCTGTAAACAGGCCTCGGTTGTCTAACATATGTTCATTACGGGGGAGCTGTATACAGGCCTCAGTTGTCTAACGTATGTTCATTACTGGGGAGCTGAACTCGGGCCTTGGTTGTCTAACGTATGTTCATTACTGGGGAGCTGAACTCGGGCCTTGGTTGTCTAACGTATGTTCATTACTGGGGAGCTGAACTCAGGCCTTGGCTGTCTAACGTATGTTCATTACTGGAGAGCTGTATACAGGCCTCGGTTGTCTAACGTATGTTCATTATTGGGGAGCTGTATAAAGACCTCGGTTGTCTAACGTATGTTCATTACTGGGGAGCTGAACTCAGGCCTTGGTTGTCTAACGTATGTTCATTACTGGGACGCTGTTTACAGGCCTCGGTTGTCTAACGTATGTTCATTACGGGGGACCTGTATACAGGCCTCGGTTGTCTAACGTATGTTTATTACTCGGTTGTCTAACGTATGTTCATTACTGGGGAGCAGTATAAAGGCCTCGGTTGTCTAACGTATGGTCATTACAGGGGAGCTGTATACAGGCCTCGGTTGTCTAACGTATTTTCATTACTGGGGAGCTGTATACAGGCCTCGGTTGTCTAACGTATGTTCATTACGGGGGAACTGTATACAGGCCTCGGTTGTCTAACGTTTGTTCATTACGGGGGAGCTGTACACAGGCCTATGTTGTCTAACGTATGTTCATTACTGGGGAGCTGTATACAGGCATCGGTTGTCAAACGTATATTCATTACGGGGGAGCTGTATACAGGCCTCGGTTGTCTAACGTATTTTCATTACTGGGGAGCTGTATACAGGCCTCGGTTGTCTAACTGTCTAACGTATGTTCATTACTGGGGAGCTGTATACAGACCTCGGTTGTCTAACGTATGTTCATTACGGGGGAACTGTATACAGGCCTCGGTTGTCTAACGTATGTTTATTACTGGGGGGCTATATCCAGGCCTCGGTTGTCTAACGCATGTCATTACTGGGGAGGTGTATACAGGCCTCGTTTGTCTAACGTATGTTCATTACTTGGGAGCTGTATACAGGCCTCGGTTGTCTAACGTATTTTCATTACTGGGGAGCTGTATACAGGCCTCGGTTGTCTACTGTCTAACGTATGTTCATTACTGGGGAGCTGTATACAGCCCTCGGTTGTCTAACGTATGTTCATTACGGGGGACCTGTATACAGGCCTCGGTTGTCTAACGTATGTTCATTACGGGGGAGCTGTATACAGGCCTCGGTTGTCTAACGTATGTTTATTACTGGGGGGCTATATCCAGGCCTCGGTTGTCTAACGCATGTCATTACTGGGGAGGTGTATACAGGCCTCGTTTGTCTAACGTATGTTCATTACTGGGGAGCTTTATACAGGCCTCGGTTGTCTAACGTATGTTCATTACCGGGGAGCTGTATACAGGCCTCGGTTGTCTACCGGATGTTTATTACTGGGGAGCTATATACAGGCCTCGGTTGTCTAATGCATGTCATTACTGGGGAGTTGTATACAGGCCTCGTTTGTCTAACATATGTTCATTACTGGGTTGCTGAACTCAGGCCTTGATTGTCGAACGTATGTTCGAGCTGGCATTCTAACGTATGTTCATTACTGGGACGCTGTTTACAGGCCTCGGTTGTCTAACGTATGTTCATTACCGGGGAGCTGTATACAGGCCTCGGTTGTCTAACGTATGTTCATTCCTGTGGAGCTGAACTCAGGCCTTGGTTGTCTAACGTATGTTCATTACTGGAGAGCTGTACACAGGCCTTGGTTGTCTAACGTATGTTCATTACTGGAGAGCTGAACTCAGGCCTTGGTTGTCTAACGTATGTTCATTACTGGAGAGCTGTACACAGGCCTTGGTTGTCTAACGTATGTTCATTACTGGGGAGCAGTATACAGGCCTCGGTTGTCTAACGTATGTTCATTACCGGGGAGCTGTATACAGGCCTCGGTTGTCTAACGTATGTCCATTACTGGGGAGGTGTATACAGGCCTCGGTTGTCTAACGTATGTTCATTACCGGGGAGCTGTATACAGGCCTCGGTTGTCTAACGTATTTTCATTACTGGGGAGCTGTATACAGGCCTCGGTTGTCAAACGTATATTCATTACGGCGGAGCTGTATACAGGCCTTGGTTGTCTAACGTATGTTCATTACTGGGGAGCAGTATAAAGGCCTCGGTTGTCTAACGTATGGTCATTACAGGGGAGCTGTATACAGGCCTCGGTTGTCTCACGTATGTTCATTACTGGGGAGCTGTCCACAGGCCTCGGTTGTCTAACGTATGTTCATTACCGGGGAGCTGTATACAGGCCTCGGTTGTCTAACGTATGTTCATTCCTGTGGAGCTGAACTCAGGCCTTGGTTGTCTAACGTATGTTCATTACTGGAGAGCTGTATACAGGCCTCGGTTGTCTAACGTATTTTCATTACTGGGGAGCTGTATACAGGCCTCGGTTGTCCAACGTATGTTCATTACTGGGGAGCTGTATACAGGCCTCGGTTGTCTAACGTATGTTTATTACTGGGGAGCTATATACAGGCCTCGGTTGTCTAACGCATGTCATTACTGGGGAGTTGTATACAGGCCTCGTTTGTCTAACGTATGTTCATTACTGGGTTGCTGAACTCAGGCCTTGATTGTCGAACGTATGTTCGAGCTGGCATTTGAAAGAAGCTGTAATTTAACGTTTTGGAAATTCAAACAGTTCATTACATAACATGAAACTCAGCTTTAGTGCTTAAACTTGGAACGGTGGCATTGACAATCACAATTGGTTTGTGTAACCTTTCACCTTTGAACTGTAAACGGTGACATTTAAATATCTTTACTAACATGGAGTTGTGGAATAGCGAATAAGCTAATTGAGCTACCTGATAGTGAATCTTGTTGAGTTATCTGATATCTGGTATTGAATTTTGTGTAGTTATCTGTTAGTTGCCATATAGTTACCAGTAGCCAGCCAAATGGAAGCAAAACATCAATTTATAAGCTGTGGCCCAAATAACGCAAAACCATAAATAAAATGTTTATCTATAAAACTGAGTTGGTTTATCTGTTATGATTTATGATTATGAATAGTCTGATATAACTATAATTTTGATACTAAATATCTCATATTGGTATACATGAAGTAAGCATTGTGACACTTTTGATTAGATAAACATGCAAATTATAACCAACATTGTCAACTTGTCTATATATAGTTACAATGGTAGTATTTATTTTAAACTTCTTTAAAAACTGTCCATATCTATAGTCTGTCTACAGAATCATTTTTATGTAAAATCAAAGCCGGTAAAGTACCTTTTTAGCATGCTAAACATGAACAATGCCCAATTTCCCATAATCATGGAGATTTAGTTATCAACGTTAATTATGGTAAATACCGATACTTTTTCTGTTTTTGTAACATACCAAAACACTTTGTTATAATACGCCTGTTTTAAAGTTATGTGCAGCAGAAATAACTCATGAATATGCAGTCTGCCAAAGTAATCTTTCCTCTGGAGAACTACTTAAGGTTGAGATTGTGTTACAGACAAAGATATGCAACAATATAAATATACACTTTATTATACCCCCGCATTGAAGTTAGGGGGTGTACTGGAATCAGCAGGTCAGCCCGTTTGTCTGTCCGTAGAAAAAGTTTGTCCGGACAAATCCTTCTAAGGTAATGGACAAATTTCAACAAAAGTTTTCGGATATGATAACTACAACCAGATGTTGTGCATCCAGGTTTAATTTTTTCAATCTGATCCTTTTTTACAAGAAATTGCCCATTGTTGGCAACCGGTAAATTTGTTGTCTGCAAAATAAAGAATATTATTTCCTGAAATAGTGTAATATTCGGTATCAAAATAACAGTTGCAATACGTTGCACACGATGATGATATAATTTTATAGCAATTGTGTCATTTAAATGCTTTAGGTGGAATTGTATAACCGCAACTTTAACACCCATACAGGTGTAAGCATTATGGCCAAATTATCATAAAATGAATTCTGAAACTAACTGTTCCTGAATTTAAGCTTCCTATACCCATACCTTTTTGGATTTATCTTGTTTTGAAATTCCAAGCAGGGGCCAACGCTAATGTTAAATCTCCATAGGCGTTGACACTACCTTTGTTACAAATTTCATCATAGACACATTGAAAATGTAAAAATGAACATTTCAGGTATTTTTTTCATTGAATTTGTAATCAGATCGTAGTAAATTTATCCAACTGTCAAGCTGAGTGATAAATGGTGCCATCTTTTACCTATTTTTATGTACAGATCTTCGGGGCCGCGTCCTTTGTTTCTCTCGGTCACCATTCGTCACGAGTGATGATTTGGGGTTCCCCTCCTTTGTATTCATCGTAGCAAAGCACTTTTAATCACAATCTTTCAAATTAAGAAATAACATCTTTCAATTGTAAGGTTTTATTAATTTACTGCAATGTACATGTATATTATATGATACGAAAACTACAAATGAACCATAATAGAAGATTTAGATGTACAATTTGTGAACATCACATTGATGATTCCTGAAGCTTTTAAAATGCTTTATATACTTGCTTTAAATTATTATTCCGAAAAACAAAATAGTTTCAAGTTTAAAATTCTATTTCAGTACCTGATAGGCAGATTACTTATATGATTTATTAGGTGTTGTATTTTAGTAGTGATTCGATATGCTTCCAAATATATTGAAAACTGAGTTGATTTACATCATCTGTAAGACTGACCTAAAACATATATTGCATATTCCAATACTCTGACAAAAGCAAAACAAATTGAAGGTATAGTTCTCTATGTATATTATATTGAGGATATTTAAGGATAAAATCTTTGGTAATGTTCAGAGTCCAGACCATCATCTATGTAGTCCCAGATGTGTATTCGAATCTAAATATCTGATAGGAGATAGAAGAAATAGAATGTTCCATGTTTATTATTAGCTTATCATTCTACTATCATTTGGATATATAACATGTGATGACAAAAGAGGAAGAAACTTATTTTAACTTGTGCCCTGTCCGCAGACTTTGAATTAATGATCTCTCGCAATATCGCCTAGCCTAGCCAATGAAATATCTGATTCTGCAGAACAGGTGGTGTAAATGTCGCAATGGTCAACAGACTGATCCAGTCGACATGGCTATCGTGACAAGTCGTCTATTGATAGCAGGAATACCTCGATCGCAATGTATAGATTTACACATGCGTACGAATTATACAGATATTATTTCCTTAATTCAATACGATACAATACAGACAAGCAGTTCGTATTCAAACACCCGATCATAGTTTTATCGCTTTCTATGTTGTGTTGCTCTACTGCCGACATCATTGTTTTCGAATGGTTTCACAATTAAAAATATTGGAGATAGCAATGACAATTATGTTATGGTTATTAAAATAACAAATGCTTACAAAAGGAAAATTGATTGGTTTATATCACGCTGCATAAAACTATACAACTGTAATGACAATAGCAATACCCAAATAATGATCGATACATATTCAGCAGAACATTACTTACTACGCATTCTACCTTTTACAGATTTTTCACATATACTTTCGAGAGCAAAACTAACTTGGTAGCCTGTATACTGAAGTTAACAATCTTTTGCACTAGTGTTCACATCCTTGTCCACTCGAGTTTACTGTAGTACACATGGTAACTTTCTTTATGACAATATGTCTAGTTTTCACCAATTTTTTTATATATTGTCATTTGCCCTCAAATCAACACCAACAATATATTGACAAATAATATATTAGATGTTAGCTATTCATATGCTTTAAATGATCTAAGCATTATCCTTAAATAAAAGAAGAATGCGTAGATATATAAAAAATAAATCGCGATGACCTGATTATTAGTGCATTTATATTGGTGAATTCTAGTTCATTATACTCTGTCTTTTAGACATATTCATTAAATCTCATTTATTGTTTTAACATTATAACGTTTAAAAGAAGAAAATAATAATAAGATATCACCGGGATTCACATTAGATGTAGATACTTATACTATGCTTCCTATGCCTGTTACTAATTCCACATTATGATAAAGTATATTTCAGAAACTATTTTAGGTACTTAGACTATGCTTCCTATGCCTGTTACTAATTACACATTATGATAAAGTATATTTCAGATACTATTTTTCATTTAAGTACTTCAAATGTAAGTGGTTGTACATTATTTCTATATACAACATACTATATTCGCTTGGCCAGGGCATAGCTTCTTCTTCCACTCTCCTTCGCATGTTTCAGTTGTGTTGTCTTTACATATCCCATCCTTAAGTTTGCAATCTGCAATTACAGGTTACATTCATTATTCAAACTACCGTTCCTGGATAACTACTCTTCGGCAAGCGGAGACAGTAGCATGATGCATATTATTCCCCGTACTACTTGATGTTCCTTTTTCTTATATTCCATAGACGAAATAGACAAAATAAAATTGTCAAAAAAAATCCTTTCCTGAATATGAGCATTACACTAAAAGAGTTCAAAGATCAACATCCGACAACAAATGTCATTATTAACATTTAAGTGATGTACTAAATTGATTATGACCCTTTCTCGCAAAAAGGACTTTAACATATTCATATCTTAAACAAATAATTCTGTAATTGCTTCATGTTTTTTTTGTTTTTTTTTTATAAAACTAACACAATGGTTTACTAGCTTTATCCATTGTATCTGACGCTTTAATGTATATATGATAAAGAGTGTAATTTGTATGTTTTTTACCTGTCCACATCACCGGCTCGATGCGGTGCCAGAACGATCCGAAGTCTTCGGTCAATATCCTATCATAAAACTCTTTTCCAGGACAACTAGTAGGTCGGACGTCTTTATGACCAAACACACTGTTATTTGCAGAAAGCATCCCTTGGTGTTGAAGACACGTATGAAGTTTCTTTAACGACGAGACAGCGTTACTGGATGGTAGAGTTGTCATGAAGTTACCGAGAAGACAGACCCCGATACTTTTTGTGTTGTAACCTGGTGAGTGAGAACCTCCATACTTCGAACCCCGGCCCTCAAATACCGTCCCGTCTCCTCCTATCACATATTGGTAGCCGATATCATCAAAGCCTGCAAAAAACACAATCCAATTAGTCGTTTCTTTTACAATGACATGCCGTATTATGAATTGGCCCCAGAGCATGAGTGGATGAAAAATCCCTTCGTTTTAAATAGCGCGATGTTATATATGAATATGCAATATATTGGAAACTAAGTGAGATAACTTTTTAAAAATGTGGAGGAGGATGGGGTGATCTAGTGTTGTACCGTACATCAAATAAGGTTCATCAGGGTCATAATTTATTGTGGCATATTAAGTGTGTGCGACACAACGAATTACACCAACTATATAGAATTATGAAAACAAATCAATGTTTGTGTCATCAATTTACATATGTTCTCCGTAAAAGTGAAGAATCAATAACTTGCGAATTAAGTGTTTAATAGTATCTAAACAGGTGAAGTTATATTCTAGAATATAATGCATTTGAAGAAAAAAATGTTTCATCAATTTTTACAAGGAGGTTGTTTATTGTTCATTCCTGTGTAAATATCGTAAAAGAATATATATAATTATTTACAAAAATTGGGGCATATGTTAAAAAGGAAAAAGAGCATTTGAAAATACTATACCAAAACTACAATATATCATGTTGACGTACGTGTACAATCCGCGTACCTCTGCATAAAACTGTAACCATCCATTTGAGCATTTGAAACCTTTCCCCGGTATAAATGATTTATGATAAAGAATCACGACAACAGTGTTCGTTGTTATGTAACAGGAGAGAAAAAGCAACGTAGTCAGTGCAGGATTCGATCTATGGACCTACGAACTCGTATTAGTCTTCTTAACTAACCTAGCTACCTTGTCGTTGGAGATAGCTAAGTCGCAATACAGCTATTTCCAAAACAAAAAAAACGGAGAGATCAGTCAAGATCAGAAAAATAAATACATAACATTTCTAACGTTTTCCTTGCGATGGAACAAGAATCCTTAAATACAATGTTCCCCAATTCTTTTAGTTATATCTATCTTAAACGGTTATCAATCTCTCAAACATTTAAGCTACTTGATCTTAAGAAACTGAATGTTGTTGACGATACTTCTCTAAGGGAAAGTTAACCACTTTGTCCAAGATGATTTAAATAGGTGTGTTGCATATTCATTCAAAGCCAAAATACCTTTATCTGATGATTGATGTAGTTTCTGAACGACTTTCATCTGTTGCAAACACTTCTTTTGTTCCGAACAGTCATATCCGGCCGCATGATGGATAATGAAGAAGGACAGATTAGCGCTCAAGTTATTTAAACTGCTGAGCGGCGTCCTGGCCCCCCAAGAATCACGTGTAATAATTTGAAGCTCTTTGTCATCACATTTTTTAGTGCTTTGTACTGCGAATAAACAGTAAATGTCGTACATTATTTTGATATTGTATCTTTCATAGCGCAGAACATTACAACATTTTATAATGATTGAAATGCCTATTACTTATAATTAAAAATAACAAAAAATCTTTTTATAGAAAGAAGATATAACAAGAACACTTTCAGACTGTTATGAATTTAACACCAGTGCCAAAGCTAAGACAAGCATGCGGTCCTTAATTCAACTATCTTTCTTTTCTTTAGAAGAAAAATATCGGCTCCAGTTTACATGTCATAGTTATTTTACAGAGTGTTCAAAATACATTATATAGGTACAAAGTAATATCCGTGTAATTTGTCCTGTTAAAATAATTCTTCTTAGACAATGATTCTAACAAGAGAGACTTCAATCTATGTTCCTGAAATCTGACGGTTGTTATCATGACTTGATCTCTAACCAAGACACATCAACATCTACCATGATGGCAATTTATTTTCACTGTTTCCTAGTTCGATAACAACATGAACACCTCTCTTAACAGGGTACGTAATATTTGGTACTTCATGTGCTGAAGAAATCTATTCCTTTTCCTGATTATCTTTTTGTTTTAGTTTCTTTTTCTCTGATTCTTTTGTTGCCCTCTTGATATTAACTTTTTATTTGAACAAAACAAATTGTAATCATTACGCCCAAGAACATGTCGACGTCAAACACATATCATTAGTTATTAAACAAATTGACTTACAGTGATGCATTTTGGAACAGAATCGTTGATTGTCAGAACATTGATAGTCTAGTTTAGCCACATACGATCCTTCGCATATAATAGACTTGTCCTGACATTTCCCAGCTGTTCCAGAGATGGGTTTGACAACATTTTGTGACTGCACTATCAAAATAAGAGAATAACAATATATTAGAGCAACTACACAATATCACTTATAGTGCTCATAGACATATCACATAAATACATACATGTGCGTGAGTGAGTGAATGTGTGACTGCGTCCAAGCGTGATCCAGTCGGTGCTTTGTTTACATGAGACTTCTCAAAATACAGAAAACCACATGACATCGTTCGTTCTAGCAACACGTATTTATGATGTTGTACACCATTTTAAATTAATAATAAATTATCAAGTGCATGAGGCTGAGATTTAAACGTAGTTAACAACTGGTTCAACTCTCTGCGTTGGTAGGAATGTGAGGGAAAACTTTTTAATGACTGAAAATATTGATTTCCTGTCATACTGAGGCTACACTTGGCAACATTTGTTATTCTCGTTAGCCCTTTATATGCGAAATATGAAAGAAACGTGGATTGAATTATTCACTATACATAACCGTTATAGTGAAATATATCATATATTACTTGAAGGGAAGTCAAGACAATAACAATAAAAACTAAATATGTAGCACTTGATCACATAAATCAGATTCAGACTTTAATGAAAATGATCAAAGTGTTACAATAAATAATAGCATATATTAGAACTGAAATCTGAACACCGAAATACAATGCATATTTTATTTTAGAGGGAGCAATTGCATAGGGGTTGTTTCCCCTGTTACACGGGTTTGAAAGTGTATATGGATTATATTAAGATGTATTTTAACTATTTATTATAAAATATATAGGATCTTACATGAGGTTCCATTTCATATGACATTTATGAAACGAGTCTCAGCATTTTTCAATTTACAAGCTTCTGACGACCTAAAATGAACAAGTTTTATAAATTTCATATGAAGTGAAAACGAGTGTAAGTTCCTTTTTATCACGTAATCAAGATATGTGGCATTTATTCGTGACAATTTTCATGCAACCTTGAAATGTAAAAAGCTGCCATTTTGATTCTAGTGCATAAGTCTGTGACTTCATGTACTAGTCCTAGGCTCGACGTCACAATTGAAACAATTAAAACTTACAAACAAACACAGGGCTGATTGGTCATATGACATGGGTTAATACGCCAAAAAATATGACATGGGTATATTGACTGGATAACAAAGTACATTATGTGATAAAACATTTTTTTTCATAAACAGAGACACACTATTTGTAGTAATTCACAATTGATTGTATTTGTTCTTAACTGTCTGATGTAAGATTGCTATTTTTTATTTATTTTTTATACAATAAATAACACATTAAGATAATACTTAACTATGTAAACAAATACGGCATACACATTAAATATTTTGATCGTCCTTATTCTACGTCATGGCGCCTGAGGAAAATCAACGGGAGGTAAACAGAAAAATAATTGACATGGTTAGAGTGCAATGACCTTTATGACTTATACGTACATGGTTGTCATATTAAAACAGAATAGAATATTCTGTGAAATCGGATTTATAACTCCGCACAATAAATACGTATTGTGTTAGCAATGCCAAACAAACACAAATACGTGGTATTGGTTTTTAATTGTGTCTGTCAATGTTTAGTAAGGGAAAATAGATGTTTCAGGAAAAAGGAACTCTCGATTTATTTCGCAAAAACATAACAGTTATCCATGGCAACAACATGTTGTCGTGTAATAATAGCGTGAAAAGGCCTCAATATGTATATACACGCATTTCAATTCGGTTGCAAGACAACCACTCGTTATAATCATAGTAATTAATAAATAATAACAAAGAAGGTTTTATTACAATGATATAGATACAACATTCCTTATTAAAAACGTGATAAAACCCGTACGAATTAGAAAGATCACGCAGATTTGTTTCATATGTAGATATTTACATGTGTTACTGATTTCTAAAATTTAAATATTTTACATATAGTAATTCGTCGTGTTATATGACTTGTTTTACACCATGTCAATTAAAAAGATAAACTGGTGCCATACTTACCTAGTAGAGAGCCACAAAGCATAAAAAAGCAAGTCAATCGTACTTTGTTGTAGGTAGGATCCATTGCAAAAGACGTAGTTTGTTGTCTGATCAATGCGTGCACAACATAATCAAACCGACTTGAACAGTTTGATACCGAGTCGTTGTTATTTACATGTATTTATAGTGTGCATAAGGGAACGGCTTTACTTCCTCGTTGTATACAGTCCATTACGGGGACACACTGAAACATGGCTGGTGTCTTTTTGGTGTGTGTTTCTGTTGTCTTTATTGCTGTGTTAGACAGTGGCTACTCTCATCATTTCCAACATGATACTAACTTTGAGACGGACCAAGGTGAGCACGTGTATCACCTCACTAGCTCAGGACACACGCGAAATATCATCAACCTCGATGACCAGTCCAAGATAAAGGCAAGTCAGAGTTTATATGCGTTAGCATATTACTATATACTGTTGTTACCATTATTAACACACATCATGTATTCCAATATTGGATAATCTGACGGTTTATAATTTTGTAGTTGTGTTTTTCCTTTCTAACCGCGTTGCCATTTGTTGATATTTTGAACCATATTCAAATGTCTTGGAAACTTTGTATCACTGATGAGTATTTTTTTTCTAATAATATATTTAAGCAATGAACTAATAACTGAATTATGATGACGGATTCAGGGGTGTCGTTCCAGTTGCCTGAGCTATTTAATATTATAACTTTTCCTTCAAATGTTAAATAAAAATGTTCCAAGGCTTTCCCTTCCCAGCAATGTTAATAGCTCTAAGACTGAGGATATTGCCCAAACACCTTCGATTTTACTACGATAACAAAAGGAGATTGAGTCCCCTTTTGTCAATGTAAGCAAGTATCCGCCAGGCCAATGGTCAAGGTTCCGTTGGTCTTTGTTTAAACGGACTCTATCTAATTATTCCTGCACAATCTGTAGTGTTCTGATTTTTATTGATCACTCCTGTCAGAGTAGAGTTTGGCTGCGCCAGCCGGAAAAAAATAGTTCGATTAGTTATGTACAGGCTGATAGATGAAGTAAGAGTCTATCTTTATTTTTGTATTGATTTGGACCTTTCAGGGGCTAATCTGTCCCCACTGCATTCAGCAGTGAATATCAATCAAAATAAACCGATGATCGCTATATTGAATGTTTGATTGTAAACTTTTGGCTAAAATATAAAATGTGTACTGGTTGCCTTCAATTATGATTTCTAATTATTACGTTTAATGCAACAAGCTAATACCAAAGAAACATGCTTTGAATTTGAGTGAAATTGAGTTTTTGAGTTATAGTGAAATTTATAGTGTTCATGTACTATTTTTTGGTACTATGATAAAATTGCTTCAAAGTCATTAATGCATGTACCTTTGTAAAAACAAATATACAGAGATAATGAATGTCAAAATCGATGCTCAAATTTAACACAATGAAATAACTCTACCCCACCCAAACCCTCTCACCTTAACGTCACTTCGCGCGTCAATGTACAGCATATCGTCTACTTGGAATGCCGAATTGATGCAGCTGTCAATAACATATAGGTTAAGATACCCTTTATATGAATCATTATAATATGTTGACAGAAAAACACGATAAAACCAAAGATATATAAATGTCAATTCCTAAGCGTGAAAAAAGAGTGGCTTAATACATTTTCTTTTTTCAAGTTTAGGTTAATAAACCAAAACATTATAATATCCTCCTTCCCCATCCTAAACTTGGCAACAGATATTGGGATACAAGATAATATTTGACAAATATCATAGAAGTTACATTTATTTATCGAATAAGTGACGAGTTATAATTTACATTTATTCAAAGGTGTTACTCTTAAGTATTGATTTGTAATATGCCACGATTGGTTTATCATTTGTTATAAATTAACAACTTTCTGGAATACCCCCTTTGATAACCATGATAAAAGCCATGTGTTCTATATCTTTAATCGGTGGTGAGCTATGGTTTTGTTCTGGATTTAGCATCTGAAACGATCCAGAAAACATTTTCTAGTTATGATTCCACATTTTTAGGTCCTGAGTGTGGTTCATGATGTGTTTACATATTTTACCCAAAGAATGAAAAACACAAATGTTTATTGTCGCATTTCCTGTTTTTGTATTTCAAAGTATGTCATTGTCAAATGTTTGATCGTTGGATCACGAATATTTGACGTGAAACATAATAACATTTGCCATGTATGATACATGAAAGAGTTACTCTCATTTCCAAAATCTGTATATATTTGCGTTTGTGTTTCCTTGGTTCCCTTTGTTTACCTTTTTGTTTGTATTGTCTTAGAGTTCTTACATTAAATGTTATCGTTATTGAATACTTTTATTTATTTTACTAACATAATCAGTTGGAAAAGGTTTCTTTTTCTCAAAAAAGTCACCGTATCAAGTAAAATGATTTATATCTCTACATATAAATCTATACAGATTTGTCATGTGATATTTTCGTCTGAATGTGTAGGGTACCAGGTGTAAGGATACAGTTTTGGTTGTTGTAACCTTTGACCCGGAAACAATCGAAACATGGAACATTGGGGATGTCGTAATAGGGAAAGCTACACGAGAGTGCTACAAAGGTGACGGAGGAAACCACGCATTACGACACGTGCTAGAAATGACCTTGAAAAGAGACAATCGCGTGGAGCTGTCTACTGAACCACTTGAGTAAGGATAATTCAGACTAATTCAAAAAGGCTATGTCAAAGCCTCTTAAATCAACAACACCCGCAGTTGTTACAATAGACAGTCAGTGTATAAACGTGTTTCAGTAACAAAACTGCTAAACTAGAAACACACTAAATTAACGAACCATGAATGTTAAACAAATGTATTATTTCTGCAAAAAAAGCATATTTATAAAGAAATACATCTTGCTTCAAAAGTGGGCCACAATTTAATTACTACTATTGCATTAGTACTATTGAAAGCATTTGTTTCGCTAACTAGAATGGGATATGTAGTTAAAAAGATATAAATCTGCTTCACTCAAAAGGTTCATAGGAGTAAAATATCATATTCCCATCCGCCGTTTGATTCTTCTGAATAAACGAGTAATTGTTAACAACTTTCAGCATACAGATTCTTATACTTTTGCATTTCAGGTTTGCAAATTTATTTGAGACTTTCGATGTCAATCTTCACTACCTTGGACCCCACACTCGTGTCAAGCGAAGAACCGCTGGAATTCCCTCGGCTATTGTCGGAGCAATCAACTTTAACACAAATTTTACAGAAACGATTAGTTTTAATCCCGGCAACAAAGTATTTGGTATACAGAAATTAGCCACAGAAACATCTCCAAATGTGTTTTCCGACACCAGCCTGCCTGCTGTCACTGACGACACGGTATTCCGCGTGGCTTGTGAGTCATGTTCTGGTGACATTTCTACGTCATACAGACTGTAAGTGCATCTTTGATTGTTCAACAATAAAATAAAACCGGTGTTTTCAAGACAAAGTACGTTCTTTCATGATACATACATATGTGTCCCATTGGTGTTGAAGAGTGTAATCTTTTCCTATCGCATTATTGTAGACAATTAAAGCTTACCCGTACTGCCGAGAAAAAGGCTGAACTGGAAGCATTTGTTTCGGAGGTAAGTTTTCTTTTCCTTTTTAATTTGTTTGTTCATATAAATGAACTATACATAACAGAAAGAGCATGGATTGTTATGCAAATCAAAAAGGGGATTTTTGAAGACCACGGAGCATGTTTGATAATGATAGTATCAATTTATTTATCCTATTACTATATCATCCTGCTTTCAATCTTTATTTGACAAAGAAATAATTGAACTTGAAACGTTCTGTGAGTATATACTGATTTTTGTAACCTTAGATATCCGGAATGGTACAAGAGCAGCTGACCATATCTGTAAAGTCAACAAAAGAAGCCTCCAGTTTTCACAGCGCTGATATACTAGACACAGGCGTGGTTGATCTAGTGACCATTCCTTTGGCGGTACTGCCCGATCTACCGCCTCTGAACCTCACGATACGGACGCAGCTAGTGACGTCAATTTCCGTCGATATGATTGCCACAGGCCCCATGGAATCAAGAATAAATCTTCAGGAAAGCGGACAATTCGATGTATGTAAGTATACATAATCTTATCCTGTACAAGGACTGTAACACTTTATATTCAATTAATGCGATTGTCAGTAGGACACACACTGAAACTATTACACAATCATACACAGCATGCAATAGATGTTACTTTATTATCATTTATTCAAATTGACTCAATTGATAACAAATAATGCTGATGGTATTGTTAATGGGGTTTCTATGGTAAAACACGTAAGTTTTACTTTATGCACAGACGACGTACGTAATACACATGTCGCAACGTTTAAAGCCCGACTGGTCCCTTTGTCAAGCTATGACTGGGTGAGCAATTTGTATTGTTTACCTGTACAAAAGTGGGTCCAATATCCTAAATTGTATGTCAATATACGTGGGATATTTCAATAAAGTTCATGCACAGTGTATCGAATACAATTTCGTCACAGCGTTGTACAGGTAAACGTTAACTTAGTCATAGCTTGATAAAGGGACCAGCCTGTCTTGAATTGTTGCGACAATGAAATCTGTCTTTGTTTTGCGACTTAATTGTATCGTTATCTTGCACTTAGCACCGGCAATGTAGAATTATAAATGACTGCCGCATTAACTACAGCTATATATTATTCATGCATTGCCGTTTCATAAACATAGTTTGTAAGTTGTTTACGGGTGAAAACACGTATTCATTTTTCATCTTTGTAGCAAATAGTGCCTTTCCTTTCCATTTGTTTTGTTTTTTGTTTTATTTAGTTTTGTTTTGTTTTGTTTTGATTTATTTTTCAAAATTGAAGAATGCATGATAATTAGAATAAACACCTAGAATAAATTAATTCATTGCTGGACATTTTAAGACAAAAGTGATAAGTCAAATAAACAAATGATATTCGACAACAATGTACTGAGTGTAGAACAGGTGGCTAGGATTTGAACCGTAGACCTTAGGCTAAGATTGTTATACGTTTTAACAAATTGGGCTTCCTTGGCGACGGAATAGTCTTCGCCCAACTATGCTACAGTTATTTACAAATCGAAATTGAGGAGAAACAAGTAGAGTACGGTTGAGCATCAATCCTTAACATTTGATTTTGTTGATTTCCTTTGAAATATAGTTCATTCGCGGGGATCTGATGACAAGATGCTTGTAAATGCTACATTTACAAACTGGAGATTCACTAAAAGTAATACGACCGTCCTAGATACGGAGGACATTGTTAACGTAACAGCTACAGTAACCAATAAGGTAGGTGTCTCATCTTAACTCAACATCACGGAACCTTGATTGTAAAAAAAAAGGTATATCTTAAATTCCAGTTGACATCCAACTCTTTTTGCTTGTAAAGTACAAAGCCATTTGTGACCGTGCTTCTCTTTTCGTTAGATATGAAATGACCATAAATGTATACTTCTTAATTGCAGCTACGATTTATTCCAACCATGTCATGGTCAGAAAAAGATGTCTTTTGGCGATTTGAGTCCCCAACAATATACAGGTAAGTGGATATCTGTTTCATTGTTGTCTGCAACCTCATAATAATTCAAGACAACACTTGTTATAAAAGACTTAAAAAAATATATTTTATATTTATCGTTATGTAATATTGTTGACACTGAAACTTTCATTTGTTTATATATATCGGAAAATGACGTGTAACGTAATTATTGAACAATGCTAATTAATTCTTTCATTTGCTTGATTAGCAAATCAACGCATCTGCATGCGTTTTCCTCGGTTGATGACCAAGAAATATGTTCATTTGCGGTGGCAAATTCAACAGGAAGAATAGAATTAGAAAAGTTGACAGTGGATGTCACGGCATTCAACGTTCCACTGTGGTAAGTTAGAGTCAGAATATCAATTTATCTGTTTTATTGCCATGATATATGATAAAATCACATTAAATTATGTTTACCGTGTCTGAAGATTTAACGTAAGACACACATGAGATCCCACCGCTATTTATGACAAATGTATGAGTTTTTTCTTTTCACATAAATGTAGTTGTGGAGATATTGGGCTGATCAAACAGCTTGGAAATATCTCCGATTCAACGATGAACGTTACGAAGATTTGTAAAGCCTACTGCTCTGGGGAAGAAACCCCGGAGGTATACGACAGTCTAGAAGATGCCTGTGGGGATCCAGGCGCTCAAGTCATCGATAAAACGAGTGCCCTTAAAGTGTAAGATATTTTGTTATGATAATAATTTAATTTCTGATAATTTATAAATATAATTTACAATTAAAATGGCTTAACACTGTAAATTAAACAAACGGCAGTCAGTATAAAATAGATGTAATATTGGTTTTGTTTTATTTTGTTACAGCTCAGTTCATTTAGGACGCTAAATGTAATAGATAATCAAGCTACAAAATGTGTTATATTGGAATAATGAATAACACTAATAGGTTAGTATTAACGTCCTTTTAATATAAAACTGCATGTTTCAAAAATCCATATACCTTAACTTAACTTATCTGTAGTTAGTTCATATTTCATATCTGTGTATCGTTGACCAATCATAAACCCACGGTGATCGTTATAGCGTTAAGAGTTTTTCAATGTACAATAGCATGTCTTCTTTTTACTGTATATTTAACTAAATATTACACCCTAGTGATATAGGTACATGACTTTATTGCAGACTTGACGAGTTATTCGGAGATGTAATAATATTTCCGTCAGACGAGTCCACCAATTCCGGCTGGTGTGGTAATGTATCTACAGCTTGTCCTGACTGTAGTGTCAATGACGTCACCAATATTTGTGCAGACAGACTGGTATCATCAGAAATGCATACTGCCCTAACAAAGCTTGCTAAGCTAGTGATAGCAGAATGGCCTTCACGTAAGTTATACAATATGGTTGCAAAGACCAAACAGACTAATAATAGTTTTTGTTAATAATTATTTTAATAAATAGACATATTTTTGTGTAATAAAGCCTCCATTTATTTCGAAATATTATATTCAATAATACATCTTATTGCCTTTGAGTAAACATATTGTGTATTTGATGCTTAATTATCAACACTGTAGAGTATTGGATATTTTTAAGAAATTTAAAACTCCTTTATCAATTTAACTTCTAACTTTTAATGTTTTGACATAAAGTGGACATAAAGTCGTATTTCCACGTCTCTGTTATTCCTAGAACTAGACATGTGGTTCATTTAGCAATGTTTATTCAAAATAAATAACTTTTTTTTTTAATATTTTATAACAAGGAAAACTGATGATAAACGAAGGATGGGATGAACCTACGGAACAATACCCTGATAGACAGCATGGCAACACGTCACTTTACTACGAAGGTCGTGCGGCAGCCATAGCGGTCACTCAAGAAAGTGACCTTGGGGAATCCGATGATGAAGAGATTAACCGGAGATTCTATCAGCTGATCAAATGTGCCGGATTACATATAGGACACAGCCAATCCGATGGTTATACGGAAGTATGTGTTGGACAACCAGTTAATAATTTCCGCCGTAAAAGATCGTTAAGGTCACGCAGATCAACCGGAAGTAGCTTGGATGTAAACTGCAAAAATTCCATATGGCCGTGCCTTGATTTGTTTCAAGAGATTTTATCAGGTTTGTTCGGCTTTGTTGATGTTATTAGGGATATATGTTGCACAGATATAGCATGAAAGAAATCATATATGATTGCAATTGCGAACTAATATGCTAATAACTGCTCCAAAAACGGCAAAATATACATAAATAGCATTACACAAACAATAGTTTGTTAATAGCTTTTCACTTAAAAAAACGATTAGTATAACTGTATGCATGTCTTTATTGTTTTTTTAGACATAGCTGTAGATTCTACCAAGCTATCATCTCAACTAGGAAACCTAGATTTATTCCAGTCTGGTACTACAGAATATCCCTCAGAGAGAAATGTGGAAGACATATGTGGGGACATCGACGAAACCTACTCCAGAGATAATATGAAGCAAATGAAGAGGTGATTGTTCTTACAGATCAGCTAAAGCAGGTTGAACTCATTGCATAATGACATTACACACTATATATTTTCAGTTTTCTTTCCGATCATAAGACAACGCCGACGTTTACCCGTGATTTTGTTTAGTTTCGAAAACACATTTCATCCAATGGAATCATAGTAAAAATTGTGTCAGTCGCCGATGACGATAGGTTAGTTACTGGTTGAGCGTTCTTCTTAAGTTTGGTGGTATGGATTCTAACTGTGTTCCATTATTTCCATTTCTACTTCAGTTATTTTAAACATGTTGTCACCTTGATACATGAATTTATTTTCAAGATTATTATTATAATGTTTCTCCTTCACTTTTTTGTTGGAAATATCTCTGTACCCTGTTGTTCAAAATGTCTGATTGATCTATTTTTTCCTCCCAATGAAAAACTGTCTTTGCATATTTCAGACTTCTTCAATATCCCTATGATGATTTTGAGTTCCCCTCCGAAGGCCCTAGTGGACAAGCGTGTGGCTCTATCACGAGACGTTGTGTTCAAGATACCTCATACAGTTATTCAACTGATCCACTTCAATGGCCAAGCAGTAGAATGATGACACCGAGACTGGCCTCAAGACTTCATACCTTCTTCCTCTCTCTATCAGAAACCGGTGTTATAAGTAAATATTTGATCACATGAAGGCAAATGATATAATATATATATATATATATATAGAGAGAGAGAGAGAGAGAGAGAGAGAGAGAGAGAGAAAACAAACGGGATGTTAATTTGAAAAGTCGTTGATTCATTTAAGATAACCAGAAGCTACATCATCGTTACTTTTTTATGTTACTGTTTGGTTACGTAAATTTCAAATTATTTCACGCAATCTTCTGTCTAACTTTTGAATTGTTAGCTTTCTATATGTTTCAATTACTAGAGCAATGTGTTACTTTGCATTTCCTCTTTTAGATCCATGCGTCGATTCATTCAATTACTGTAAGGGAGTCTGTATACCAGAGGACTGGTCATGTGCAGGTACATTTAATATATTATAATATAGCTGTGGGGCAAATTTATAAATTGTACTTGCTGTTTTAATATAGAAACTGTACGTAAGTTGATTATATCGTATATGTTGGGTACACAATAAATAAGATGAATTTTACCATTTAACGATGGGGGAGGTCATAAAAGATCAATGTCACTGCTTAAATGGATATTTCATTTAACTTACAATTTACTTGTGAATAATATATTACTATCATAACAGGTTAGTTTCAATAATATTATAGAAAATAACATTATAATCGTTATAGGTAACACACGGAAGAAACGACAAACTGGTAAGTATCTTTTAACTTTACAACTCGCGGTTAAACTAGTTGTGGTTTGTGTATCTGGTTCCATTCGAATAGAGCTACATACTATACGTAGGCAGGGAAGAATTTGAGAACAACGACAGCTTTAGAAAACAATATCTTTGGAATATACTTATTTTGTACAAATATTGACAACAAATATCCAAAACTAATGCGATGTAGTTGTCTTATCTTTGTATTTGTATGGAAATAGTACGATTTGTTTTTGTCAGAAAATCATCAAACACGAGAGCGAGGTTCAAGGACAAAGCGATCAGCAGCAACATCGGAGTTAACTCTGTCCAAATACCAAAACAATGGAAGGTATGAAGTATTTCTTATATACATGTATCATTTTCATCAAGATTTATACATTTCAACGTTTTGCTGGCTACTGGCTAATGTTTCGATAAACATTAAAGCAATCAAATATAATAACAATAATACCTATAACACAACACCATACACAGACAAAGAGGCATGCTATCGAAATACCCATATGTTACGTTTTTTGTTCAAGTGTAAATCTGTTGTTGATCAATATATTACCCGGAAATCTGTCAAAATACCAAAACAACGGGAGGTGTAACGTGTCCCTAATCACTATTGTCATATGAAATATTTGTAAATTATCCTGTTTGTTTATTGATATTTGCTTTTTAGATTGTCTTAATGAGTAAATAAGCATGTGCTAGTCAATTAAATAATAGAGAGATTAATTAGAACTAAAAAAGGCACTGATTTCAAAGATGATTTTGTTACTTACAGAGCCATACAGGTAGACCTGTCAGATATCAACGTTACGATGGAATATGCTGCGAGTTTGGCAGTGTTGGCCGGGTTTGATTTTGTTGCTATCCGTGAATCGTATTTGGACCTTTACGTGAAAAATCAGGCAGGGATCAAGGCAAGCATCACGCCTTTTCCTCTTGTTAATTTAATTGATGCGAACCATCCTACCAACAGCGGAGAGGAGTACGTTCTCTATGACGAACTGTTACCATTGTATGACGGACATAGGGCCGAGCAGAAGCTATCTGACTGTTACACAATAACAGATATTCGCAACCAAGGCTCACAAAACCGCTATTTTCGAATCGATAGTTTGTTACTCCAGTGCTTGGAAGAAGCCAGTTATGAGCATGGATCATGTATTCCAGTAGTCAAAGGATCGGCTTATAGAACCAAGTCTGTTAACGATATTAACATAGACGAGAGACACATTGAAGAGAGAAACAACTTTATTCGCGGGAAAGCTGTGGAAATCATGCCTGCTAACACCGGAGACGACCCTTTATATGAAGTAGGACTAACGGTTATAAGAACATGCACTGCCATTCTACGACTTAAGCAGATGAAAATTGGAATAGGAAGTCACTCAGACCGCTTGTATGTGGACATCAGACAAAGTACTGGATCACGGGATCTTCTAACGTTATGGAACGTTGACAATCTTCAGTTGTACAACAAGATGAAGCAGGTGCATGACGACCTTTTTCTTGGTAGGTTCTGTCTCATCAGTCATTAATTGTTCTTAAGAAAATAACTACTTTGTATTAATTCGATTTAATTTTCACATGACACAACTGCATATCAAACCATTCTTCAATTAAATATTTACATTTAAAGATTTAAAATGATACAAAACAATATCTTAGGAAGATTACTTTTCGGTTTAGTGGGGATAATGAAAAATATTATGAAGATGCAGTTACAAACGGTGAGACACGATTGAACGTTATAACTCTATTAAATGACTGGGGAATATGGAATTTTTGCCACGTAAATGTTTTCTTGTGTTTTGCAGATTGAATTAATATCAAACAAAGTAATTATCCAAAGCAAAGTTTGAATGTGATCTAAACAAACATGTTTAATTCCATATCATGACAGGTGGACCTATAATCAGACCGACTAAAATTGACAAAGCATGCAAGGATCCAACTCTCGGGAAATCACTGTATTATATACGACAACCTTCAAGGTAGATATTACTAAATACTTAATACATTTCAGTAAAGTATTAATTACACAATGTAAATATATGCAACAAACAAAATCAACCAAATTCGTTCAACTTTGAATTCGGGTTAATACTTATTGAGGTCGATGCAGGTGTGTAACTTGCCTGTTAATGCTATTGACGGTATTTTGTGAGCTTAAGCATGTTTCGGCCTCATAAACTTTACCATCATGTCACAAGACAAATTTACACTTACTGTTGATGCGCATTGAAAGATGCAAGCTGAGTAAGGCGGATAGACATTCTACTTGTTCATGCATAACAGTTGTCTTTTTTTGTATTACTTTCTTTATATTTCTAGCGTATTGAATATATGCTTCAACAATAATCATGGATTCTGTGAGGACACCAAAGCAGCAAGAGAGAAAGCAGTAAAAGTACTGCTCGATAATCTCGTCAGTGTGGTTGGTTCCGGACAGCTATCAGAATCCAGTATCCGAGAACAGGTCCTGAAATGTTTCGTCATTTACTGTGGAGGTTGTCTAGGGCGAGGTGTGTAACTTGGTTGCTACAACTACGCTTATATATCATAGCACTTTATGATCATACATACTGTATACACCGGAAAGAGAAATTATACAGTACATGTATTTGATATGTGTCAATGATCCCCTTTGATACATTCATACCCAAAGGAAATCTAAAGGGTGTAATTATATATACGAAAAACTACAGCGCAGTGGGGAGAGATCCCACAGCTATTTGATTATTTCTTTCTTTAATCTTGAAATAGTACCGATATCTCAATATCTTATTATAATTTTGATGTCATTACAGGCAATATATGGATAGACAAAACTAAGAGTTGTATGTCGGTGGTGAAGACATTCCTGTCGGCCTTGACCCTTCCATTTGGAGGAAGCCTCCATGACAATGCCGTCTTCTACAACATGGATCCACGTGAATCCAACATCACCTCTGTTGCGTGTGACGGTGACAACATTTGCTTGCATGATGTACAGTTTTACTCTGTCTTAAGTAAGCAAAATATTTTTTCCCAAATTTTCAGATGCATCTAACATATTACTGGATAAAGGAAGGTAAACCTTTATCCTTACAACGACATAAAGTTAAACATGTAACGAAAATCCTGGCAATGGAAATTACATCTTGTACATATATATTGAGATATGTTGAGTAATGTAATACAGTTAAGACATCAGAAATTCGCTGTTATTATACATTACACACTTTTATAAATAAACAATGTTTTTTCATTACTGCTAGCGAAATATCCTATTCTGCAAGTAATGAATCCAGATGTTAAAAAACGTATAATAGTGTTTGTATATGGTATTTGTTGTTGTTGCTGTTGTTTTTTAAACAATTAAATGTTGTTCAATCTGGAATTCATTTATTTTTTATTACAGTGACGACTTTACAGGAAACCTACCAGCCAAACCTCGATAATGACGTAGAGGAGGCGCTTTATGGACCAGCAGACAATCCTCTTCCGGTACTGGATCTTCTGGAACAGGAAATGGCAATGTCTGCAAGTGGCGTCGTGAAGATTTACTTAGAATCTAAGGATGACCTTAGCGCACTTCTTCCCATACTAAAGGTACGTTTTACACACCACAAAAATGTATACATTGGCTCTGAAAATACAAGGTTCAGCCATCCTTGATGTTGTGATCCATGATGTGCCTCGTATCACAGTCAAATGCATTTTACGACATGTGTATGAAACGTATGGTTTTTTTCAAAATATTAAAACGTGATAGGAATTCTAGACATATCACCTTTTGACACATTCTTTGTAAAAATAGTCTTTATTTCTGACATATTAGCATTAATTCAAGTTTAACAGTAGTTGTTTTATCTTAAGTATTGTTGTTCTCATATAAGTAAATCAATGTAAATAAATCGACCTGTTGAGTATTGTCTAAAAAGTATCTCTATATTACAGATATTGATGACTTACAATCGTAACGTTAAGGAGGTAGAGTTCCATCTGACTGCTGGGATATCTCATAGTTGGGTTATCTCCTCTTTGAAGAATAAGATACTGAGATGGTCCACATCCGTCTGTCCCTCTCTCAGCAGAATCGTCGTAACTCCGTACAAACTAATCGACATACCAGAAGATCGACGAAAAAGATCGACACACAAAACTCAAAAAACAATTCGTTCAAAACTTCGAAATGACGAACTTGCATGGTTAATCCGAAATTAAATTATAATATGGATTTTTCAAGTGTGTAAGTAAATATACAATTGCTGGTAAAGGCCATCATCCAAAATGCAACAGCATATTCGTAGCAACAGTATGCATTAACAAAGTGAGGCAATTATGTAACTTCAATTCCGTATGATGTAAACTGAAATATTTCGCGTTTAAAAATGTACTTATTAATATATTACAATAAAACCTTGTTCTGTGCCACAATATATCCATCACATTTATGGCATTGGGGAACAATTGGAATTATATCGACGAATACGTATAAAGGAATTGTTGAGAAACAATTTGTTTTTTTAATATATGTTCTCCATAACATTTCTAAACAAAAATAAAAAGCAGTGAACTTGGAAACGTCATTCGTTCTACCTTTATTATAGGAATATCATATGTATCTTGAGTATCTCATACATATTAATCAATGTTTAAACACATCGAACCTTCATTATAAGATTTTGGGAAGAATTTATATGGTACCTGTTTCTTTCAACATTCTTATTAAACCATTGATTATAAAAATCTGGACGATATCTGCCATTATTCACACCATTGTTTTTCTTTTTTTTTCTTTTTTCTATCGTATCTTTTTCTGTACTTACAATACCATCAATAGTGATGAAAAATCTGAAGTGAGAAATACAATATTAATGTTTCGGAGTGGTTTTATTGTTATTGCTTTGTTTGCTTGTTAGAAACATACGTTCACACTTATACTTACTGACCAACTTAACTTTATCTTTAGCTGTACAGCATACATTTATCCAACGAAAATAAAGACATGAACAAATGTATTTGTCAAGTTTTATATACAGGTGAATTACAGTGTAGTCTGTAGTGCAATACAGTGATAATATCGTTCTGCATTGAAGTGTAAACCTGTATACCTGTGTGCAGCTACTTTACTTTACCTTTAAAGGGATGGAAATGAACTGATACGGTTGAAGTAGGTCACAGGAATCCGGACCTTTTGATTATGAAATGATTGAAACGTAATGAGCACGAATATTGTTGCAATAAAGTTAAAAACAAATATTTGTAGTACTCGAAATATGCTAAAAAACATTATAAAAAAGGGCAGTGTTGATTAAACATTTAAAACTACAGACGAAAATTGAAGGAACGATCAAACAAAACTTTGCTTGATCGTTCCTTTAGTTTTCGTTTGTAGTTTTAAATGTTAAATCAACACTGATTTTTTTTAAAATGATGATTTTTTGATTACAAACTAAAGACATATTTTTTGAATTAGCGATTTAATCAGTAAATTGTTAATTTTATTTCACCGTAAACAAACACGAACATACACCCTAGTGTTTACTACATAGAGCACTAGAAACCCTTGGCATTTAAAGGCACATTGAACGATGGCCTACATATGTCCTAATTATCAGGGGGAAAACGATTTTAGATTTTAAATCATTCATGAAGAACTGAGCTGATGCTATATATTTAATGAGATAAAACTGGACGAAACGCACAAGCGTCAAACCGGGGTTTACAGTAACAAATAATGTAATGGTGAGCGATAAAAAACTCACAATATGTAGGCATTTATGTTACGAAGAACTCATGTTTTGCTAAAAATTACCGTACGTTGGTCCATTACTAAGTCTGTGTTTAAAAGACCTTCAGCATAAGAGCTTTTATTTGAACAAAGATAAATAAATACCGTTTTTATCCATTTACGATCAAATGAGGCTTTACAAATTAGTGTTCAAAGCTTTTTTGTTCCTTTTTTAAATGTTTCTTTCGGTATTCTTTGTCACACTTAATATGTGTTTGCTTAGTACACGTAGGTATTTGATCGCCGATACGTTAAGTACATCGCTTTGTTATTAACTATTTCGTGATAAGACTACATATTCATAGTTTACAATCTGTAAACCTCGCTTGACCTTCACTATTCCGCCTTAAAGGAAGACAAATGAGTACGGCGAATGGTCCGATCTTTGTCCGCGCAGAGCGCAACGAACAATTATTTGCGACAATTATCAGAAACCATTACCGAGAAACGAAAGTACTGGTTATCTTTTGAAAAACAAGAGCGATTTAAACCGACAACTTATTATGGCGGTAATTTTTGGATGCGGTCCAAAGGTACGAACATTTTAATGATTGAGTTTCTTTAATACGTTTCAGGTTATGTTTGTTTGCTATATACAATACTATGTTAAATATTTGTCTTTTTGGAAATATCAAGAACCATCATTAAAAGTTACCCTCAATTGCCTTCCTAATTCAAGTAGTTAAAATCATTATTTTATCAATGTGACGTTTCTGCTATGGTCCGTACCAGACACACTGGAGATTCTGGCGAGTATACCTACCCCAACTGGGGTGTATCAAATCTAGCTCTGTAACATTGTCTATGTCCGAGCAATTACTGCCTGTGATCATGTACGTCTTGTAGCAGTAAATACATACAGGGGATATATACAAAGCAGTATCAATGTAACAGTAAATGCAAAATAACTACGTATAGACCAATAAAACACCTTATACTAATCTAACTGAGCTCTCCTACTACTGATCGCTCAAAGCGTGAATATATACACACGAGGCCGATCTGCCACATCAACACACACGCAGGTATTGACCACCTGTACTGGCGATAGTTCGAATAGCTCAGTCCGGCCAATGTCTCCCTACAAAGAAAGCTCGGCACCACTACCTGTACACCTATACTGTACAATCTGTATAACTCCTCTTGCTAGTCTTGAGTTATCCTGACCACTCGGTGATCCCTATAACTCCCTATAGCAATCTAACAAGCTGTCGAAGTGCTGTCTTGATTTATCAATGTAGCGGACCCAAAGCAACATGATAGCTCGCCCTTATAATTACAAAATATGATACTTTCGGTAACACACAGGCAGGTCTTGACCACCTGTACTAGTTATAGCACCTCGGATAGCTCAGTCCATGCCCGATGTCTCGCTACAATGATAGCTCGTCACCCTACCTGTAAAGTATGCTACACATACGATCTGTCAAACTTCTCTTGCTAACCTTGAGTTATCCTGACCACTCGGTGATCCTATTACTCCCTTTTAGCAATATAACGAGCTGTCAAAGTGCTGTAAGGATTTATCAATGTAGCGGACCCAAATTAAAGCAACATGATAGCTCGTCCTTATAATTAAAAAGTATGATACTTCCGGTAACACACAGGCATGTCTTGACCACCTATACTCCGGACCTTTTGATAAGGAAATGATTAAGACGTAAATGAGCATGAATATTTTGAAATATGTCGTTGCAATAAAGTTAAAAAAAGTAATTTAACTAAGAATATTTATAGTACTTGAAATGTTTTGGACCGATTTCAAGCACAGTTTTGTTATTATCAGTAAATTGCTAATTTTATTTCACCATGAACACACACGTACATTCACCCTGGTTTTTACAACATAGAGCACCAGAAACTGTCGGTATTTAAATGCACGTTGACCGATGACGTACATATGTCCTAATTTTCTTTTTTTGGGGTTGGGTGGAACGATTTTAGATTTTCAATCATTCACAAAAAGCTGTGTTGATGCTATATAATAAGGGAGATAAAAATCGTTATCATCAAACAGGGGTGTACTGTAACAAATAATGTAATGATAAGCGATTAAAAAAACTTACAATAAGTAGGCATTTATGTTACGAAGAATTTATGTTTTGTTAAAAATGACAGTACGTTGGTCCATAATTTAGTATGTCTATAAATGACCTTCAGCAATAAGAGCTTTTATAAGAAAAAATATAAATAAATACTGTATCTTCCAATTTACGATCAAATGAGGCTTTACAAATTAGTGTTCAAAACATTTTTGTTCCCTTTTAAAATGGACTCCTATAGAGTACAATGTTTCTTTCTTTCGGTATTCTTTGTCACACCTAATATGCTAAGTACACATAGGTATGTGATCGCCGATACGTGATGTTCATCGCTTTGTGATTAACTTTTGTATGATAGGAATACAATCTGTGAGCCTCGCTTGACCTTTAATATTCAGCCACACACGATACACAAATGAGTTAAGCGAATAATCCGATCTTACTCCGCGCAGGGCGCAACAGACGATGATTATTTGTGACAATTATCAGAAACCATTACCGAGAAACTAAAGTACTGGTTATCTTTTGAAAATCAAGAGCGGTTTTAACTGGCTACTTATTACGGCGGGGTTTTTTTTGGATGTGGTCCAAAGGTATGAAGCTTTTAATAATTGAGTGTCTTTAATACTTCACGTTCCAAGTTATGTTTGTTTGCTATATCAAGTAAAATGTTAAATATTTGTCTTTTCGGAAAAATAAAAATCGTTCATTATGAGTAACCCTCAATTGCCTACCTAATTCCAATTGTTAAATTCTTTACTTTATCAGTGCAATGCTGTTAAAGTTGAAATGTTCCTGTGTGGAAATGTTCGCGTTTTAACTCTTAAACCGATCGCATTGAAGAAATTTGTCGTTGACAATGGTTCAGAAATCTATATATTGTCAAATCAATGATTTGTGTGAGGTTTTTAATTTCGTGGGTAATCATTATCCAAGAATTCATAGTTACTCGAAGTAATAACAAGTTTGATACAAAGCAATTTTCCGTTGAGTAGGTACTCGAAATTCATGAACACATGTACTCACGAAAGGATGTTTTGTCGGGAAATCGTGAAATATAGGTTCCACAAAAATATCTGATTTCACAATAATCTTTATATTTATAATCAACAAAAATCAATTATTAATATGAATTATCGCGTATGGATATTTTCACGATCATTAATTCAACACGAAAAACGCAAACATTTCCATACTGTGGTTATCTACTTTAACAATATGTGGAATGTATTTTCCGCTTAAACAAACTTCAACCATTTATTTCTAGTACGATTAATGTGCTTTGAGACGAATCAAACAATAAAAATACTTTGTTTTTGTAATAACCGATATCAAAATGAATAAAGACATATCTACATAAACGATTTGAGACAAAAAAAAGAAAACACCGAAGCTTCAACAAAAACTGTAAGTTGAATTTCAAATCGATAAAACTAGAGCAAAACCTGAACAAATGAAATACATGCATGGAGAATCCTCAAAAAAGTAGGTGGAGAAGAAGACCATGGGTTTCGGGAAGGTAAACGTCTTCCGATTTATCGAAGACATCCGCCATGTTCATTCTGGTCAAATTCAAGTTATTTCTTATAGCGAGAATTAAAGTAGTGGCAACAAAACCACAAGGTACACTAATTAGCATATTAGAAAACACCGATCTTTAAATCACAAAAAGAAAACTTCATTTGCCTTCAAGCTTTCAAATACATAGTAAGCTGTACATGTTTAAAGTTATAAAGACTATAAGGAGTCTTAACATTTTTAACGTGGTAAAATGTGTCCTACATGGAATATAGGGTCATAAACTGTGCTTAAATTGACCTGGTTTGGTTTCTGCAATGACTGACATGTTGTATATGTAATGGGTGATTATATCAGATATCATAATTCTCTTACCCCGGACAGGTGTATCCGCACTTTTACCGGTGTGAGATTTCCCTGTCTCTCACCGTAGGGTTCAGACGTTCCCCTATTCATAACAATGATATGACGTCACTTAAAAAATACAATGACGTCATTTCAACTCCAGAATTTAGCCTGAAACGTTAACACTAAGATATGCATATGATACACTAAATGTGAACAGGGTAAAAGAAAAATATTCATTCGTCCGCTTGAGGGTGAGATCGGGGAAAGATTCTTAAGTTGCATAACACTCGGCAAAGCCTCGTGCTTGGC